CTGGGCGAGGACGCAATCGGCAAGCCTCATCGTCAACGATGTACGGGCAAGCAAACACTTAGGTCCTAGACAGCAGTCCCATTGAAGCCACTGATCTGGACGAATGGGGATTTCGTAGTGTCCTCATGTGAACCGATATTCTTACGCAATGTACCGTAATTGGACCAAAAGCGCCTTGCGGAGGAGCCAGAGCTATTTTGTCGGATCCGGGGTCGCATGTGAGGTTGTCAGTTTCCTGCGCGTTCACCTGACAACATAGCAAGGAAGGCCTGTCAATGATACGTAGCCCCCGATCGCTGCTAAAGGGTCGAGTCAAAAGAAATAAATTTTCGACTGCAGCGCTACCTTTTGCCAAGACAGGGCTGTGCGAGTGAGATCCAGAGAGTGTAGCGCCTCTAAAGGGGAGCTATACAACACATACACAAGACAGTAATCAGGTGTCATATTTGGATGGCAGGAGATCCACTGAGTGGTTTTCTAGAATGGCCAGACGGGTCCCAGACGCTGTGGATACTTCGGTAACTTTTGGGATGCCCCTGTGAACTGGAGATCCAGTGCAAGCACGTTGACGGGCGAGTCGAGAGAAGGAGCTTGGCATGTAAGTCGGTCACGACTGTGATAAATTGATCCCTCTGATCGCCGTGTCTGTGAAGGAGGTTTGTCCGCATCTTTTCATGGCTGCATACCCGCAGAAAGAAATATGAACAGGGAAATGGTGTGAATTTAGCCAACCTCTGGAGTTAGCGACTTCGCTGTGGCCGTAGTCAGGCCTACTTAGACTTACCCATGCCGGCCGGGTCTACCCCAGGATAGGCAGCCTCGCAGGCCGGTCGGAAAGGGGAAAAAATATCATCCCCGGCCGTCGATCGTCTGGGACCCACCAGCCCCAGTTGTATTTTTGGGGGGCCACATCCCCTTCGAGGCCCAGCATGCCCGCCATTTGTTTACCTCCTACCACTTCTACTTTTAGATCTTTGGTCTGAGACATCTACGCCTTGATCTGGCCTAGACATGGCTGGGGATGCCGGCGTATCTAGCGCCACTTCTGGTCTCCACTCCCCACGGCGCAGGTGCCGTAAAATACAAATCGTGGCATCCGTAGTTGAAGGCGCGCGGCAAGTGGTTCTCGGGCACTTATTCCGACTGCGCCTTTCATGAAACATGAGCCAAGGACATGCGCCCGAGCCAGGAACCGTTGGACGGCCGCCCACGCGCTTCTCCTTGAGACGGGGAGAGCGTGGGCACTTTTGAATTCATACACTCGAGTCCGATCCGAGCCGGCCCCAAATTACAGCCTAGACTGGCCATACATGATGTCCCTGCACAATTGTTATTTTCAGATGAGACGAGGTCAAGGGAAGAACAAAACCTGTTCCATCTGGACGGTAACCTTACCGTTGGAGAATCATTCCCTCGCCATCCACTCAGTTGCAGAGATCATTCAAGCCGTCATCAAGTACTGGTATTCTTAGACGCCCCCGTTGATGGCTGCTCCACACACACGTTTTTATGCGTCGTCCTTTGGTCGGGCGGGAAACGCTCGTCTCCTGCCGTGGACTCGTCTGACCTAGACACAGACATGGGCCTGCAACGACCTAGACGGCAGATCTGCTCAAACTAACCAACCAGCCAACGTTGAGCGGCAGAAGACTTTGGCTGATCAGGCCGTATCCGTAGGTGAATGCCTAGTCCATGAAACGCAGAGGGGCGACCTGGAAGCTTTGCGATGCCTGCGAGTCTCCGGTACCTAGTCGGAGACGACGGGTGCTCGTCTGAATCCCGGTCAAAGCTTTTTCTCGTTCCTTTCGGACCCTTGTCCCGCTCTTATCGCAACATCCCGAATAGATAGCGCATCTAAGTGTCGGGCCTTCCCCCGCAAACTGCACCGTCTCCCATTCACAGTCGGTGCAATCGTCGCAATTCGAGGATGCACTACGTCCTGTACTCCAGGCTGACGGATGAAACACCATGCCGACCCAGGAACGTGTAACAGCGAGCCCCAACTTGGTTCAAAGGTTGTTCAGCGTCTACGCGCTGTCACAGCAATTGCTGTGTTAGACTAGGCCATGATATTGAACCCTCAGACAAGACTTTAGTGGCCATTTAGCTTCTAATTCATAATTTACGATCTTAAATTGTTAAGCTGACTTCAAGAAGAATCCACGCTTCGAAGACTGATCATCTATTCAGCCAAGTGAATGAGATGTAACCCATCGAAGTTATCTGGGCTTAGCTAGGGATGAACTGCAGTTCAAATGTAACTAAATCCACCACTGAGCCGGAAGCGATTAAGAATCTGTGGGGGTAATTTGCACCAAGGCTTACGCAAGAAGCGGGATTGGATTTGTTGGAAACTCCATTTGGGCCTCGTCAGGGGTAAGCTTTAGCTAGACACCAGTGCGGCGCGTTCAACCTTCAATGTCTTTTCGAATTCAAACAAACTTAAGAGCCTCAGCCGGCCTCCCTGAACCGGTGGTTGCTAGACTTGCGCGTGCCACCATACCCGAAAGCCAAACCATGAGCATCAGGCGGCAAGTTCGGCTCCTTCACCTCTAGCGTCACACAGTTGAAAGATGATTTCATGTGAGCGCACTTAGGTAACAAAAGGCGAAGTCATGGGCACTGCAAGGGATTTCTAGAGCCAAGAAACTTACCAACAGAATTAGGGCCTGATCAGTTAGATCCTTGGGTAGTCTTTCATGTTCTAGGGCTTAGTAGAGATTGTATATTAAAACAATCAATCAACAGATCACCGAGAGCCACAGTCACATGAGAAATCAGTTAAACGAGGATATGAGTGGAGATGGAGAACATGGAAACCGAATTGGTTAAAAGACGGTTGAGTTAGAGCGGGATTAAAAGAGAATTGTGATACAAATTTTTTTCCACATTTCCGACACTTCTCTTACCCCATGTTTTTGCGAGAATTTGTCCTTGTATTGAAAGAAGTAGCAGAAAAGTTTGGTTATCGTGGTAGACGTTGTACAGCCTTCTTGGACTGCTGAGGATACGCATGGCTACAGAGACGGATGTCTGCTAAAGCGTCAACGGAATAGGTTTTTGAGTACGAGATTAAATATATTTCCTGAACCATCGCAAGTGTCAAATGGGGATAGAAAAGATAGTTGATTTGCTGGGCGATGCTGTGTGAGCAAGAAAAGGCGAATGTCAGTCAGCCTAACGGAACGGCACGGTTGGCGGAGGAGCTGACGGGTACTAGACTCATTTGAACCTGCTATGCTGCCATGCCATGCCCATTCTTACCAGTAGCTTGGTACTCGAGATTGATTGATTGGACAATGACGACAAGTGTAGGCGCCGTCATCGGCTGTTAGCTTCGCAAGCAATTAACTGGGTCATCCACGAGCTCCGTGCCGCAGAGCAACAACCATAGTTGAATCCATATCTGGTATGTCGATAACCAGACTGCTAAGCGACTGTCGCTGGGAATGTCAAATTAACCAGCAATGCAATAGAATGATTCAATGACATTAGTCATATAGATTTTCCTGCACGCTCCATCTCATCAGTTACGCTTGTCATGCTGGTGTGATGCGTCGCGAACCCTTCTAGTGCTTGATTTGATAGCCATGCACTCCTCCATGTATCGACGAGAAGCCGTGCTCTTTTGCGGTCGGGTAACTGTGGAGAAGTACGTGATGTCCCGCATGAGTTGTTAAAAGCCGTGGTTCTGGTGTCATTTTGTATGAGGGCTGTGTCGATGGAAGGGCCTCCACCACTACTTCCACCGCCAACTCAACAAGCAGCTGGCACTGCGCATATTCCGATTTCTGGAGACTACTTTGGCGTGAGGGATGACCTTGAGCACTATGGCGCTGGAATGGATCAGCCAAGCCCAGTGATCCATGGAAGCTGTGTATCATGGGGGCTGTGGGTTGCAGGAGGATACCTGTGCGCTGCGCTGTCGCCAGCCGTAGCCAAATCAGATTTCCCAAGCCAAGACTTTCTGCCCAGCCAAGCGGGATGGCGGCATCGGCCTGGATAGATCAATGTGAAAATGGCCCTCATAACTGTCGGTAGCCAGTGTTCGCCCTCCTCCACTCTCGCCCTTTCTTCAACTGCTTTGCGGGAGGGCCGTTCAGGGCTGGAGCTGGCTATCACTCGACTGTGTATCGTGACCTTGGCGCCCTGAAGATGGGAGAAATTTCGTCACCCTGAGTCTTCCCCCTAAGTTGTGATTATCGTATTGAGCCTCGAAGTCATATCGCTGGAGTTTACTCCACATGAATCAGTCCCGGGCGTGCGCGCGCACCATCATCGTCAGTGCCTGGGGAGCGCCGTCAACAGGCGACGGTAGTCACATACCTGGGCCTGAATTCATCGCGGGCGGCGGGGAAACGCACTGCATTCCGTCCAGAGTTTGCATAATCATGTAGAGCCCAGGAGAAGTGTAGGATGCTACTTGTCCCTTCTCCTTTCCCCATTCACTGACCAACTGGCTGGCTGTTTGGTGGTAAGGCTACTGGGTGATCGTAAAAGTGGCCGATGCCTCATTCGTAGTAGTGCATCTCATGCTCGTTTGTTGCGCTTCTTGGCTGTTGCCTAAGGCCTGAATCCTAGTCGCTTTGGGCCTAAAGGGAAAAAAGCAATGTGGCTCGGGCCATCATCGACCGCGAGCAGCTACCAGGCCCCTCCCTTCCCCGGCCCACCAAAACTCTGTTCTGATATGGATCTACCTGTTGCTCTACTTCAGCCACAAGTGGCAAAAGGAGCGAACGTCGAAAGCTTAAGCTGAGCGACCGCATCCACCTCTCATACCTCGAGTACCTTTCCACACTTTCTCGGCTCTCTCTTTATCATCCACGCGACCAACATATCCGAACTCACCGCTCAACCTGCTCACCCCAAGCAACGTCTCTTCATCGCCGCTCCGTCGTCGGTTTGGACGCCTGCTCACTGCTCCTCATGTATTAATCCACCGAGCAGAAGATCTTTCTTTTTAACAGTTATTCCTTCTCTCCGCCGCACCCCACCTCACTATGGTCTACACCCATAACGACGAAAAACGCTGTAGCACTGATCAAACCCGAGAATCACCCAGTCCTAGATCATCTTCTGGTCACCTTGATGCATCTCAACCCGATAGTGAAATGCGCACCGCACGAAATAGTTACAACGAAGACTTAGATGGTAAGACCGAGGTGGGCCTGTCCCCGGTTAGACACGCTCACCATTTTGGCTACCGACAAGAATACTTAAGCCCGGAACACCTTCGCGCTACCATTAACGCTCGTCTGGCCAATCCACTGGCCGGCTTCACACAGCAACAATTATCGCAGCGAGGAGAAGACTTCGCCCTCAAATATGGCATGCTTGAATCGGAAGATGTACGGGCCTTTCGACTCGGTGCTATGCTCGCTCAGGACAGCACTCGCTTCGCGGCTGTTGAGGAACTAACACCCGAAGAAAGAACCGTCTTTGAACGAGAGATAACCCACAAATGGTCTCTTCCTTGGTCCTTGATCATAGTGATAGTATTATGCTCCTTCTGCGCAGGAGTCCAGGGAATGGACGTAAGCAAACCTTCCAATCCTAAAGCTTCACTTCTCAAAATGTTACGTACAGGAAACGGTTATAAATGGATCACACATATTTTTCGCTCGAGAATTTGGAATATCCAACAGGAGTAGTGCAAGAGACACATGGCTGTTGGGCCTAGTCAACGCAGCTCCTTATCTTTGCTGTGCGACTATTGGCTGCTGGCTAACCATTCCCTTCAATAATTGGTGGGGTCGTAAAGGAACAATTATATTTTCTTGTGTAATTTCTGCAGCGACGTGTATTTGGCAATCATTCACGACGACATGGTGGCATCTGCTAATTGCCCGTTTTTTCCTCGGCCTGGGAATCGGGCCGAAATCGTAAGGACAGCCCAATAATATGGAGAGACATGCTGCTAACGTTGCCAAAAAGGGCTACTTCCCCCATATACGCGGCCGAATGTTCACCACCGTCCGTGAGGGGTGCGCTTGTCATGCAATGGCAGTTATGGAGTGAGATGACTCCTAGCTCAATAGTTTACTCGGCTAACAAAATACTAAAGCGGCCTTTGGACTTATGGCAGGGCTAGCTGCAGACTTGTGTTTGTACTACGTCCCGGACTCGTCAGGAATTGTAGGTCTCAACTGGCGATTAATGATGGCTTCTCCATGCCTACCTGCCATGGTAGTTATATGCTTCGGATTCCTCTGCCCCGAGTCTCCACGATGGTATATGTCCAAGGGTAAGGTATCAAGCGCTTACCGTAGCATGGTTCAACTACGATTCAATAAAGTACAGGCGGCTAGAGACATCTTCCACATACATACTATGCTAGAAGCTGAAAAGACAGGTGTCAGCCTAGGGCAGTCGAAATTCAAGGAAATGTTCACTGTACCTCGGAATCGTCGTGCCATGCAAGCTTCTGAAATCCTCATGTTCATGCAACAGGTTAGTCTAAAATTCAACCTCATTCATCCACTAATCCATGCAGTTCTGTGGGGTCAACGTTATTGGATACTATTCTTCTGCCATATTTCTCAAGGCCGGGTTTTCTGAGAGAAGTGCGCTGGGAGCTAGCCTCGGATGGGGCGCTATCAACTTTATCTTCGCCATCCCCGCAATTTACACTATAGATACCTATGGGCGGCGTAAACTTCTTTTAATTAGTATGTAACCTACTTCTTCTTCGTCTACGTACTGACTCGAAAGCTTTTCCACTTATGAGTCTTTGTCTATTTTTTATTGGGTCAAGCTTTTGGATAAGCGGAAAGGCTCAAATTGCTTGTGTGGCGCTTGGAATCTATCTTTTTGGCGTTTGCTACTCGCCCGGCGCAAGCCCTGTACCTTTCACCTACAGTGCGGAAGCTTACCCCTTGTACATCAGGGCAGAGGGCATGTCTCTCGCCACTTCAACAACATGGTTTTTTAATTTCCTTCTGGCTGTCACATGGCCTTCATTGCTCAAAGACTTCAAGCATCAAGGTGCTTTCGCCTTTTACGCAGTCTGGAACATAATCGGATTCATGGCCGTCTTGTTCCTTGTTCCTGAAACCAAGGGAAAATCTCTTGAGGAATTAGATCAAGTCTTTAGTGTGGGCACTAAAGTGCACGCCGCATATAGAAAGCGGCAGTTTGTAAACTGCTTTCGGAGATACATCCTCGGACAGGATATCGAACCGGAAAAACTTTACTCCTCTTCCAGTGGTGAGCCACAAACGAAATCTCTTTCACAGGAGATGATATTCCACGGATCAACCATAAGCCACGCATGACACATCAATTAAATAACTTTGTTCGAATGTTCTTGGAAAGAAACGTAGGCCGGCAAAAATTTATTTGCACAGATTTCAGGTATAGCGACGGTTAAGGGATGGGTAATGATTTTATTTCTGGTATTCAATGTTTATATTTTTAACTTTGTACTATACAAAAGTTCATCCAACAACGCCGATTCATCGCGATCTACTGATCTGACAGGCTGTGAAAAAGGATTGAACTTCGACGCATACTGTTTGTCGTTCAACGTGAACTGCTAACTTAGACAGACCTGGTTATGAAGGGAACCCCTCCAAAATATGAAACCCGACAATTCAAATGAGGCTTCAAGCTTCAAATAGCCTTGAGATGAACCATGTTCAGAACAACGTAAGAAACTATTATTCTAATCGAGAAACTTATACAGAAATCTTTCTCTAAAAATTTTCAACGCCGGCCTACATCCCAAAAAGCGCTTTGCTTCAACCTCTAACCGTTCTACGGTTCGAAAAGAGGCCATATACTCTCTAAAACGTCGCCGTAGTCCCCAATTAAGATGAAGTACGAGGATCAAGAAGCACCAATCAAATAATAAGTTTTGTACACATTTGAAAAGTACAATCAAGCGGTCCGAGTGGCGCACAAAACAATCCTAGATAGCTATCCAAGGTGTAGTTGTTAATATCGTACTTCCTTCTGTAGGAAGATCATGTGGGGTCTATCCGGTATAATAGATCGACGAAGACACCCAGCCAAAAGCGAATGACGGCCATCCATAGTATCTTCTGATTCAATCAGTCAAAGCCTAGGCATAGGTAATCTAAAACTTCCAATGAAGCATTCTTCCTTGTGCATCAAACCATCTGGACGATCGAAGCAAAATAAATAATAGGTACCACTACAGTTTTAAATAAGGCAAGCTGTGTTATTCTTTTGGGTCAATTACAGTAGTTTTGTTTGACCCCAAGTATCCAGGCGAATCTTCATTATGATAGTCATATCAAGTTATTCTGTCCATGGAACGGAGTATCAACAGAAAATAAGACAACTTACCTGTTCACGATCTCGAAAAAGCCACTAGTTAATGCCGTTTAGAGGATGAGGAGATCAGACAAGATTGGCTTAGTATTAAACGATAAAATTGAATTCACAACGCACGGCTCGACACGCTAGCCTGTGTACGGCCGAGCATAAGGTGGACCCACAATGGCTCAATACAGTTTCTCCTTATCTGTACACCCATGTCAAGGTATTGGTTCAATGGGATCTAGCTTGCATATCAATGGATCCCCTTTCGTTTATCACGCAAGCTTATTTTTTTTTTTTTTTTTTGCATCAGATTTTAATTGCGTATGCAGCTATCTAGCTATGACACAATACCAAAGAAAAGTACAGAATAGATGATTCATCGTACGCAAGCTTATTTATATCAGATGAAACTACGTATAGAAAAGCGCTATCATGTTCAACTGCTGCAACACCACATGCATTACTATAACTTCACCAAAATTTGAGTTGAATGACTTTGAGCTACAGGTACAACGTTATCCTTGTAGTTGCATGCCACAATAACATCTGCTTATATTTTCCATGATAAAGCGGCCCGGTCCAACAGTCTTTGTCTATTACGCAGACCTCTGACACATGTATTCTAGCCAGCAGTATGAATCCCAAGCTGTAGCCAGTGAAGATGAATTCTTCACCTTCCGGCGGTGCCAGTGTAATTTCTCAGTACGATTCGCGTATCAGAGATAAATAAGCAGTATCGCATCCCAACCTCAAGCGGAAGCTAATAAATGCATATCAAACATTGATGACTTCTCGTGAACATGGAGGCTACCTTCCTCTCGCCAGTCCTACTCAATCTTAAAACAGTCCATCACGTTGTGGATCCCAATTGAACAAAAACCAACCGTGCACATCTTGCGCTGCTGATCGGCACACGTGGTGCGGGGGGAATACTCAAATAGGTTGGCGATCCTGTATTACAGAAATTAATTCACGTATTACTTAGTCCCAAGGTTTACTCACATGTATTGTCGATTAATCAGAACCATGAGAAACCTTCGTGAAATCATTTTGATCAATAACCGACCAACCACAAGCCACAACACCTCAATGACCGTTCAAGGACCTTCTCTAATTATAGAGGGGGGGCTTGCCTTACAAGCTTTCGGCAATCTTTCACTCTTAATTTGCAATGAAACGTTCACCCACAAGTAGGAAATCAACGCGCGAGGTGTATTTCTCGGCTCTTGGCTTTTGATGACCTTTACTCTATTTGAACTATACAGCTTGAAGGAAAATCAACCATAAAATGGAATTAAAGATGTAAGAAGCTTCAAATGGGCACCCCGGGACTTCCATTTATTGAGGCATTCCAAATTTGGGTTGCTGTATCGCCAAAATTTCGATCTTCTCGATTTTTTTCCTGATGACTTTATGTTAGTCAGCTTGGTAGTATCAAGTCTTCCAGCACCAATTTTCAGTGTCACGGCAAAAATATAGGCCTAATGCTTAGCATGCTAAAATGAAGGTCAGGTATCTAAGTCTAACCTGTAAAAATTTTCCAAATTTAGTAGAAAAGTTGCACGTTTTGACAGAATTGATGAGTTTTTTAAGCAGCTGCACAACCAAGTGTAGTCGGCTCTTGCCAAAAGGTTGCTAGACATACAAGTAAGGGGTTTGGGGCAATGGACTGGAAGTTATGCAATCATCGAAGGTGATACGAGCGTATATATACGATAAAAGGCTATCTTTCTGCTAGAACATAGATAGAGATCCTTAGTGATCCAATCCCCATACGATTTTTGGCAAATAAAGTTTCAGTATTAAATATAAATTTAGTACTAGTACAGTTTTTCCACAGGCTGTATCAATGGTGGAAATAGCTCATCTGTGTCTTAAATGATACCAAGCTCCAGGGCGCAAAATAACGTTTCCTCAACTCTGATGAGCGAGAACGCGGAATGATATATATTAATATTAATTTAAAGGTTGGGGCAAAATTCGTCCGCATTTACACCTCGTCTTTGAACATAAATTCTCATTTCCCACGATATTTCTCCAAATAATTATTATCTGAGGTTAATGGGTGATGATTAAGCCCATACTAATCTTTTTAAAGTATGTGATAGCTGTTCTAGTAGTCCAGTGCTCTTTTTTGCTTCGACAAGGGAAATAATGTCTTTTCTTTGAACAAAAGGAGTTATCCCAGAATCGTTGTCCTTGATTCGGCAATTTTTAATCATACGCTCTATTTCGTAACAAATTATTTTGATCTGGTCTACTTCACTCATAACTATCTCATTTTCACCCGTAACAATAGAGCTAGAAGGTATAGCCTTGAATGCCATTACCCTATTCTTAGGTGAAGCTAGCAGTTCCAACTCTGTTAAGGCCAAAGAATTAGTGGATGTATAGTTTTCAGATACTGCTTCTAAGGTGTGTTCCGTGTTGGACGTGAGATTACTATAGTTACTACCGAGTGCAAGTTGGCTAGGACTGCCTTTGTCTTCATACGTGATGAGAAGGCCAAAATTTCGGTTCGTATCCATTTGGGCAGTACTCAGTGTTGATGTGACGTATGTACCAAAGCTAATATTTCCTATATCTTTTAAATTGATACGTTCAAAGCTTGTGATTTTCTCTGAACTCCAATTGATTCTACAAGAGTACAGAGCAGCATCTGTAATAAGTAGGACCGACTCCTCAAGGGAAGTCGGTTTTATAGTATTAGGTTGTACAGGTGTCAGTAGTATCCAACCACCGATAAATTCCTCGTCTTGATCTATTATCACCTGACTTTGACATATCTCAATTGCATGTCGGCGAAGTTTTTGCACTGAGAAAGCTGGGTCGGCTGTCATAAATCTCTCTTCAAATTCCTCGAATACACGTTCCGTTACATTTCCGAGAAGAAAATCTATAGCTGCTTGGCCAAAGTAATCGTTGAAGATTCTGAAATTTGAAGTATCAGTTGACAATGGTACTATCCAGGAACGTCACCCATACCCGTTGTAAAAGCGCGAGACAGAAAGACCTATGTCCTTCAAGGCACCAGAAAATTCTCGTTTTCTATTGCGTGTAAAATCACCTTTTAGTGCCGATGTCGAAGCGTACTGTTTAGAAATAGCGTCACCATTATCCGCCCCTATTAAAAACGATAAGTTAACGAATCCCATGCTCCAATAAATATTTATGATCGGTTGAGTAAGTAATTCGGATTTCCATCATGGCTCGAGAACAGAGTTTCCAATTGACTCACTGTAAATCAAAAAACTTGATTTGCATGAAAACTTACAGATATTATTTAGCCAGTCCATATTCAGGTCTTGGAGGCTTGAATCTACACCCTCTCTCTTGAGTTGCGAAGCAAGAGCCCATCTACCACAGGCACTCTGCGTCACATTTGTGCGATCAAGGCAGTCCATGCAATTTGTGCGTATCACCCCTGACTGTCGAGACTCTACTTTACCATCAATTATACAGGTGTCACCATGCGCGATGAGTTTTTCGCTTAGAAGTTCAATTAATAGACTGATATTTTCAAACTTGAGTCCCCGACAATTTGCGTGAAAGTCCCACCACATGAAGGATACTAGTTGTCTGTTATTCTTGGAGATCTCTGAATTGAAACAATTGACAATTTTCTCGTATTCTATCCCAACAATAGATTCTGGACCGTTTTTTTCAACTAGAGAAACGGCCTCTAAATTTCCGTAAGTAGACATGAGATCTTTAACATGGGCCCGATAACCTTCAAGGTTGATATCTTCTCCGTGATGTAGTTGAGGAACAGGTTTGAATGAATAGGGTAGCTGTGACCAATAGATAGGTATACTGCCTCTGATCTGAACATAGGAATGTATCCTTCTTGATGGGTTCCAAGAAGTGTCTGATAAAACCTGTTCTGTTTCAACAAAGTTTGCAGTAAATCCATTTTCATCTACGCCTCTTCGAAGGTATCTTAGACCAGCGCGTCGAATGGACCGTCGGCTAATGAGAGTCAGGAGATAAGAGGTCTCAATGTTATTGGCATCATCGGACAAATCTAAGCTATGATGGTTACTTGTTCTTAGCTTTAAGCTTTTGGAATCCTTCCGCAATGAGCCAGTAGACTCCTTGGGTGTATTTTCAGCCCCGTCGGTAACAAGTGGACTTATCGGCTGCTTTGAACATACTCTGAAAGATTTTTGACCAATAAATCCTTGCATCAGTGGAAGACATAGACTGGTAAGCCCAGAGTCGATAAAAGGCTCAAGGAGATGAGAATTCCAGAAGAATTTGGCTTGGGTTTTTGTATGGAAAGGGATTTCGGGATGCGTGGTCTTCTGATCTTTAAAACTCCTGGTTATATCCCAATCATAAGAAAAGTAAAAGCTTTTGGATGAGCCAAAGAAGAGCTGCATCATCCGCAATAACTTTGATAACATGTTTCGTTTTTTATTGCCTATTTTTACTGCCTGGTTTATGAGATCGTTTTTGATAACACACTCGTCGGGTTCAGTTTCAGAAATATTCTCCAGTTTAACTTCATTTTCTTTCTGTATGGGTGTATTTATCTCTGGATCTGACATTCCTAGGTTTCTACGCTGGTCTACTGTCCACCCTTTTGAAGAGAACCAATTGATACCAAACCTTCCATAGCCCCCCTTTTTAGCTATGACATCTTCAGCGACACTACTAGTTCTTCTGTGACCAGGCAGAGAAGATGGATTTTGCTTAATTGTATTATCGTTAGTAATGTCTTTATCATTGCATACGGCATCGGCATCGGCATCTTCATATTCATATTCATCAGAGTCAGTTATATCGCCTATGTCAGAATAATCGGTTTCAGAACACTCTTTTGATAATAGTCTCTGAGTATTTGCAATGGATATTTCAGCATGAGCCTTTGATTCCAAAGGTGTGACAGCAATCTCTGTAACGACGTAGATTGGCTTGCCCTGTATTTGAGCAACCTGTTGGCGTTTGACGATAGAAATGAGAAAGTATGAACTTGAAACATTTAGAAGACCTAAAGTTGTGAGATTGATAGATCGATTATGCTTTCAATCGATTCATACCGATAATACCATAAGCCTCAAAAAATTTGTCTGATTCCTGTGTTTCACTCTGCTCTTTCGCTCTAGTCTCTAATTTTCCGGATTTCCAGCTTATCTTGGTTGATGATAGAGTTACTCGTTTATCCTTTGGCACAATTGGTTGCAATACCAAGCCATCCGAAACGGCAAATATAAGAACTCTTCGTGCAAGGCCAGGCATACCAGTTTCGTTTTGGTTGCTGGCATGAATAAAAATGAAGCTTGGGTCACGATTGCTGTTAAAAGTTTAGAGGAAAATGAGCCATTAGATGTTTTACCAAGCATAGAGGAAGGCATCGAAATGCAAATTGCCATTGATATCTTAAATTATTCTGATGCGCTTCCATGGTACCTTCATTACGTGGAGTCCCTGACCGCCCGTGAATACTGCCTTAAGATGCACTGCACGCAAGAAATGATCTGGACGAACGGAACATGGCAGCAATTTTCGCTCAGAAATGACCTTCTACTTAAATTGTTGCCATTGGACTTCTACATATCCATTATACTAGAGCTCTGTAGTTATAATTTTAAGTAGTTGTAAAATATTTGCCACTCAAACTTTTTAAAAACTTATTCCCGAGTAGCCTGGAGTTTCCAATGTTAACTAATACTACTTACAAGTTCTATGAATGTCAACCATACTCACGTAAAGATTCAATACTTGTATGTATATTTTTTTTTTTTTTGCATCAGATTTTAATTGCGTATGCAGCTATCTAGCTATGACACAATATCAGAGAAGTGTATGATAGATGACTCAATTTACAAGAAGAGCACTCATGCCTCGGATTTCATTTGCAAGTACCACTGCGAAGTTATGGTGGCTTTTTCTTCACCCCAAGTCAACCCTCATCCGTGAATACCCACCCAGGGGAACATCTCAAAAACCCTGGGTTATCCAGACATGCCTCCATCATCTTTCAACCTTTCTCCGCGCGATATGTGATCTGAGGTGTCTCCTTCCCAAGTGGAGTAGGTGCCCAGGCTACTCAAACTATACCAGAGAACACCACCAGGAGGCGGACCACCACGCCTTCCATCGTTTGCTTGTTTTTATAGTGTCAACTGCACTCTCGCAAGCGAAGTCTTGGCGCGCACAAAGCCCAATTCGAAAAACTCATTGCCAAATTCGGAATTTCACGCCCTTCGAGGTTTTATCCTTCCTTCGTATCATCATGTCGACTTATCCTGATTCCTCTCAAGTCCATCTCAAATAACTATCTCCCAGATTTGTGCGCCACGCTTTGCTTCCTCCGTCGGGTATAAATATCGGCGTGGGCGTGTATTAGGCGGTCAACTGAGGCCAGAGAAGGTCGAAGAGCGGTGTGGTCATCGGGATGAGGATGTACTTGGTCGTACTTGTAGACTTGATGAGACGAAGATAGGAGTCAAACTCGTTGGGAGCGAAATAACGACGTGGATAAGTAATTTGGATTTTTGCCTCGTGGGCAAACTTCTTTGATATTGCGAAATTTGGCTGAACTTGGCTCTGGGAGAATATTTCACTCCCAGGTTCGTAGAGGACACCGCGTACAGGTGTTCAGTCTTGCCCTCCTTTAAATACACAACCCGTTAGATTCTAGAAAAATTGAGACTATCAAGTAGGCCAGATTGCTGGTACTTGTATGTATATATATATATGTTTATCAACGAGCTAGACAATTGACACCGTCCGCACCCTGATGGGAACTTGAGCACGAGTGGGGCCAGGCTGGATCAGCGTAACAGTTTAATTATTACAAGCCTCGTCCCACCACAGCAATTGGACCTACTAGGACTTTATCCATATGTCGGAGATGAAGAGTCTAGAAGGTTCAAGCCTGAACAACTGTTAGTGTTGTTCTCTACTAACCCAGGTAGAAAATATTCCCTCATATCAGAGATTCAGTCACGAGAGAGGGCAAGATGAGTTAAAATTGACGAACTATCGGTCTTAAGTAGTTGAATTCGGTATTTTGGTCGAAAATCAGTCAACAGTGATCTCGCAAATGCAGGAAAGTCGACTTAAAATTCATCATTGGAAACATCAAAATCCGCACAAATCGAAATTTTGAATTATCTTAGGATCAACGAGATTTGAAGACATTGCATTTGCTTTCCTCGACAACTCATACCATTTTACACCTCAAGCCCCATTTTTACTTGTCATTTTCGTTTCTCCTTGACCGTGGTTGAGAGGCTCAACGATTAGCACCCCTACCAATACAAATGAGAATCCCCCTCCGTCACCTCACCCCTCCGAAAACGGGAAAATTAAAGGCCTGGAAGAAGCACTAGTGAGTATGAAGCAAACAAATCACTCATCACCACTATGCAAGAGGAAGACGAAGGCTGGACACATGTCAGGGGTGTCCTCTACGAATCTGGGAGTGAAATATTCTCCCAGAGCCGAGATTCAGTCACGACAAAGGGTGAATTTGAGAGTTTTCGTCGAGTTGGCGATCGGGAGAAGTGGTGTTGGCAAATTTTTGGTCGAAAATCCGACTTGCAGAGATTTCACGACTGCACAACTCAACGAAATCAACCATCTACACCCCAGATACGAACCGCAGACAGCCTATAACCTATCTGATGTTCGTATCACAACAACCGACACCTTCCAGATCTTATTTTCTTTTTCTCTGGAAAATCATTCCTAGCTAAACTCATCTCGCGGCCCTCCACAATCATCTCACCACCTACCAAAGCAATCCCATATCTCCAAAAGCCAAATCGCCAACAAAGAAGCAAAAGAATGTCTGACCCTCCGCAACTGCCAGTCGCTGTGAAGGTACGGTTAAAATACCGGCCTTAAATGCGTCCTCACCTCGGCTAAGGGCACTCACAACTCGACCTGCGACGAATCACCACCGTCGAAATATGTACGACATTTCGCCGGCACACCAACCAGAGCGTTCGACAAAGGCTGGGGCACCGGTGCCTTGGTCTTGAGCTCTCAGTCGCGTTTTCGACCTCCACGGTTAGGGTTACGGCAACGACGGGGCAAGGCCGGAGAGGTGGACATTCTACAAAGTTTCTGGGATGACGAGATCGACTGAAGGAACGAAAGGGAATACAAGCTGAGGAGGCCTCCAGTGAAGAAAACGACCCCTGGATGAGATGAGGAGATGCTGAGATGAGCCAAAGCTGCGAATGAATCGAAGGCAAAAATTACAGATCGCGAAGGTGTCAAGGACTTGGGCGCGTGGTGGCCGAGGGTGAGGAGGAATTTGCGCTTCGGCGCGCCAAAAGGGGGTTCTCTGGACGGTTGGGCTTGACATGATTCAACTTATGGGTGAAGTCTGATGTGGTCCGGTCATTTAGGTGGGACGAGGTAGATATACTTCATGGTAGTTATCCTGATCCAGCCCGGTCCCACCCGTGCTTCAGCTCCAGGAGGAGTGCAACGGTAGTCACTTTACCTAGCACGTTAATGAACAAACCAAACCAAACTACCATGGAAGGTCTGTAGGAGAAAACTGGAACGTTTCCTTCACCTCTGATTAGCAATCACTTGTGTCTATAGTTCGCACCTTCGCTTTGTCATCTACCTTCAGTTCAGCCGTCCAGCGTTGGGATTTGTGGTAGAAAATATCTTGGGAGTCCTGAAAGCAGAAAAAGAAGATTTAAGAACGAGGTAGATTGCCTACTGTAGGACATGAAAAGTCTGCGTATAACTGCGAAGTAAATTTTTGGCGCAGCGTCCGATCACTTTATCCGCACACGGCCTAGGACTAAGCTGAAGTGCAGCTATCACAAATCCGTTAGATAGACCAGTAAATACTCACCCATCTTCGTTACCGAATTGTGTCTCTCCCTTGGTAGGAATCTCACAATCTCATAATATGCCATCCATACAGCTACTAGTGTCAGTCAGCCGTGAAACTCTTTCTACAATGAAAGCAAAATCCTATAGCCGAATAGCCTCTAAAAACCCAGAGAAACCTTAGGCAGAGGTTAAATAATCAAAGAATAGGCTGCAAAGTCCCCAGACTTCAGATAACTTATCAGCATCTCTAAAACTGCCCAGGCATGAGCGAGAACGCTGGATTATATTTCGTCGCCGCCCGAACATGGACCCGTTGGCCTGAGCAGTGGCCATAGATATTCTATATAGGCTGGGTAAGGCTCTTCACAGTAAAAGAACACCAACCTATCTACGATTTCTGAAATTGGGGTATAATTGCGCAGGAAATCTCACAGGTCTGGTCCTGGAAAGCGCCACGGCTAATATGCTTTTACCCAAATCCCAAGATCTTTTACTGAAAACAGCGCTAGAAACCGACCGAGACATCCAAGAAGTAGCTCAAGACCACGAATGGATACCTCTTAAAGTTCATACCGTGGAGCTGGAAAGGCACCACCATGAAAGAGAGAATGAACTAGAACTAGTCCGTCGGGGATTACTGGCAGAATCCTCAGAATTGGAACTTCCATTTACTCCCCGCTCGATTTCATCGCCTGGGCGTTTTGTAGAGATCATAAGTTCACCGGAGAAGAAAAATTCGTCTATCAAGACAATTGTCAGAAAACGAGAAGCCAACCGCCTGCTGTCTAAAGGAGCATGGTTTGGGGGAGTTTGTCACCGAGCTGAACCGTTCCGTAGGATTAGACCGGATAGCACATGCACTATTTACTGCCACTGGGATCATACAAATTCTAACTCTCCCAATCCGCATAATAAAAAATGAGAGCTTTGCGAAGAACGGTATCAGACGCATGCACACTGCAGCGCTGTCACAGGATGCAACACGGGAAAGGGAAAATCCTGCATTTATCTCACATTGAAGTGCGCAAACTGTAGAGAAAGATCTGCAGTTTCATCGCCTTCTTGCTTCCATTAGCGAGAAGCAGTTGCGCTTACTCGGGGAAATAGGGAAATTTGTAAGGAGCTCTTCAAGCCGATGTACCAGTACCAGGAGAGGTTGACGAGAAACTAGAATAGAATAGAATTAAATTTAAGTCCCTACTGAGTCTAAGACTATGAAGGACTACGAGGAACTAGAAGATCAGACGCTAAATGAAAATTTAGTGGAACTAGAAGTTAGCGATGAAGATAGTATCTTGGATGGTGTGGAGAAGGAAGATTTCAAAAATATTACAGCTGGTTCTGATCCTCTTTTATGAGGATAGTCCAACACAACTGTCAACACACACGCGCCATGTGTCAGGCCACCTTTGAGGCAGATTTTGGTACAG